AAAAAAATGATTTGTTTTCTATCACGAATATTCCTGGGTTATTCATTTTTTTGGTACTGTAGAAATGAATTCATTATTCTGTACTTTAATAAACTTTTTGGTATATGTGAATGACTATTAAAAACAGTAATCATGGCATTGTTACTATCTCTAGGGTGGGAAAATGGCCTACTACGAAATGCGAGCCGAGCACAGTGTGGACATAGATGTGGACATTGATTGGCCTATTGCGGAACAAAGAGTATTACGGTAACAACAAGACTTACATAGCCTTGGCACAAGACCCTAACACTGTTTTTAGTAGATATATTTAATGACCTTGTAGACACTGATTTGTGATAATCCAACCATCTTAGGATCTGTGTAATTAGTTTGCTCATGTGAGGAAGACATATGTAAAATATGCCTTCAGATATCTTATTCAGTAACTTGAGAAACACTCAGTCCAGGTAGACCACATGACTATAACTTAAAGTCTTGCACTGCAAGTTGAAGTGTCTATGTGAAGGAAATTTGAATAATTGAATGGGAATGGGTTATTAAGTTTACTGGTGTTAGCCAGATGAGAGGGAGTGACTAGTATTGCACTTGTATTCAAAGGTCTATTTTGGTTTCTTTTAGATATGGCTATTTTGGCAAAGAGAAGCTTAAGGAGATAAAACTTTTGGTTTGCAGTATTGATGGATGTCTCACCAATGGCCACATTTATGTATCAGGAGACCAAAAAGAAATAATATCTTATGATGTAAAAGATGCTATTGGCATAAGTTTATTAAAGAAAAGTGGCATTGAGGTATGTGTCACTGAATATAGCAATGTTTTTTAAGATTATGATTCAGGGTCAAGGGATAGGTGAGGGAAATAAGATATATGTTTAAAGTATTATCTATTAAAATATCTGAAATGTAGCCTTTACGTGACTAGAAAATTACCATATTGTTTATTTTTAGATGAGTAAAATGTCAATATTGATTCTTTATTTAATAAGAATGAAATTATTTTTAAATAGGTGCTACTTAGTTACTGTAGAATCTTGCGACAAGAAAGAGTTCATAAAAAATAGGTGTTAGCGTTTAGAAAAAAGCAAATATCCTATGGACTTTAAAATGTAGCTTATTGTTATGATTAAAATTTTTAATTCAAAATAGCTTAATATTTAAGTGTATATATAAAAATGAAGGCTAAATGATTTCCTATACTTCACTAGAAACCTTACATATGTGTTTCTAAGCAGCACAAGAGACAAGTTACAGACTTTCCTTTGGATAAATTCAATTATAAGAGACTCTTAGATTAGTATCAGACAATGTGTGTTGTATTTTTTTACCTGTAGAGAGGATACTTTCCACTGTAGAAAACAGTGTCTTTCACCTTTACTGGACTACTAGAAATAAAATGTTTTAAAGCTTTATTATTTTAAAATAACAGTTGGTTTTACTTAATTTGTCCCTCAGATCAAAGGATTACTCATGTGTGACTTGTGCTATGTACAAGGTGTTATCTTATTGTGTTTCTTTTATTTTTTCATGTTGCCCCTCGCCACCCTCTTTTAGGTGAGGCTGATCTCAGACAGGGCCTGCTCAAAGCAGACACTCTCTTCCTTAAAACTGGATTGCAAAATGGAAGTCAATGTACCAGACAAGCTGGCAGTTGTAGACGAGTGGAGAAAAGAAATGGGCCTGTGCTGGAAAGAAGTGGCATATCTAGGTTGGTATCTTTTTATTCAGCTATAATAAAATGAACTAGGATTTGTCTTAAGAAACAGAAATAGAAAGAAAATTCCCAAGATTGGCATGATTGTAAGGAAACTCACACTATTGACAAAAGTATTAAATTGGGACAGCCTTTCTGGAGGTCACTTTGATAACATGTATCAAGTGTAGCCTAGTAGAATGATTACCAACACATGCAATGCAGTGACCACACCACTGACTCGCCAATCTTGTAGTTCTATCAATGCAATGGTAATTTTTAAATAAATAAGTGGTATACAAATCAGAACTATTACAAATTAAAAGAGACATTAGGTAAGATACATATCAGCAAAATGCAATATGTGGACCTTGTTTTGTTTCTGATTCAAATCAAGTACAAAAAGACAATTTTGAGACAGCTGGGGACATCTGAATACATACTAGGTTATTAAATGATATTAAGGAATTGTTGATTTTGTTAATTTGATGATATTGTGTTACTTTTTAAAAATACATATATCAGAGATAGATGCTGAAGAGTTTTTGGCTAAAATATAATGTCTGGGAATTTCTTCTCCCTCTCCTCCAAAAAACTAGGGGGCAGGGACTAGAGAAAAACATTGATAAGTGATCCAAAACATTGAAAATTATTTCACATGAACTTGGGGTTCTTGCATATGCTTGAAATTTTTCTTAATAAAAACTTTAAATAATTCATAATTTATAGAATTTCTAGTAATTGTAATATGCGTGATAAGCAGAAAGTATACTCCATTCTCCTTCTTTAACTGATAGTTTATTTTGAATTACTTAGAAAAAACCCTAGACCTCAGTTATACT